CTCTCTCTCTCTCTCTAATTCTGTTTCTTTCGCTGTGTGTGTGTGTCTGTATGTATGTGTGTGTGGTACGTGCATGTGTGTGTGTGTGTGCGTTCATGTGAGCCAAGATGAAATTTAAAAAGTAGAGAAAGAATGAAATACCATAGAGCGCGTGGTATAGATATGGTACCATGATCAGCTACAAAGAACAGAAGACAATCAGTGATGCAAATGACAGAAAAGCCGCTTAACGGATTCTGGGAAAGACGATAAGCCCCCAAAAGCCAGGACAAAAACGCTGGACACACAGGTCGTATGGGCATTGCAGTAGCTCTCTGTCTTGTCTTTTTCTCTTTCTTTTTCTCTTTTCTTTTCTCTTTCTCTCTGTCCCTTTCTCTTTTTCTTTTCTGATTCTTTCTTTTTTTCTTTTCTTTTTCTTTTCTCTTTCTCTTTCTCTTCTCTTTTCTCTCTTCTCTCTTTCTCTTTTCTTTTCTTTCTTTTTCTCTTTTTCTTTTTCCTTTTTCTTTTTCTTTTTCTTTTCTCTTTCTCTTTTTCTTTCTCCTTTTTTTCTCTTTTTTTTTTTTTTCTTTCTCTTTTTCTTTTCTTTTTCTTTCTCTTTTTCTTTTCTTTCTTTCTCCTTTCTTTCTCTTTTCTTTCCTTATTTTTATTTCTCTTTCTCTTTCTCTTTCTCCTTTCTCTTTCTCTCTCTCTCTCTCTCTCCCCAAAAGCCAGGACAAAAACGCTGGACACACAGATCGTATGGGTTATTGGCAGTACCTCTGTTCTGTCTTTTTCTTTCTCTTTTTCTTTTCTTTTTTTTTCTCTCTCTCTTCTTTTCTTTCTTTTTCTTTTCTTTTTCTTTTTCTTTCTTTTTTTCTTTTTCTTTTCTCTTTTCTTTTTTTTTTCTCTCTCTGTCTCTCTGTCTCTTTTCTCTTTTTCTTTTTCTTTTTCTTTTTTTTCTCTTCTCTTTTTCTTTCTCTTTCTTTCTCTTTCTCTTTCTCTTTTTCTTTCTCCTTTTCTTTTTCTTTTACTTTTCTTTTCTCTTTCTTTCTCTCTCTCTCTCTTACTCTCTCTCTTTCTTTCTCTCTCTCTCTCTCTCTCTCTCTTCTCTCTCTCTCTCTCTCTCTCTCTCTCTCTCTCTTCCTCCTCTCTCTCTCTCTCTCTCTCTCTCTCTTCTACCTCTCTCTTTCTACCTCTCTCTCTCTCTCTCTCTCTCTCTTCTCCTCTCTCCTCTCTCTCTCTCTCTCTCTCTCTCTCTCTCTCTCTCTACCTCTTCTCTCTCTACCTCTCCCTCTCTCTCTCTCTCTCTCTCTCTCTCTCTCTCTTCTCTCTCTCCTCTCTTCTCTTCTCTCTCTCTCTCTCTCTCTCTCTCTCTCTCTCTCTCTCCTCTCTCTCTCTCTCTCTCTCTCTCTCTCTTTCTCTCTCTCTCTCTCTCTCTCTCCTTCTCTCTCCTCTCTTCTCTCTCTTCTCTCTCTCTCTCTCCTCTCTCTCTCTCTCTCTCTCTCTCTCTCTCTCTCTCTCTCTCTCTCTCTCTCTCTCTCTCTTCTCTTCTCTCTCTCTCTCTCTCTCTCTCTCTCTCTCTCTCTCTCTCTCTCTCTCTCTCTCTCTCTCTCTCTCTCTCCTCTCTCTCTCTCTCTCCCTCTCTCTCTCTCTCTCTCTCTCTCTCTCTCTCTCTCTCTCTCTCTCTCCCTCCCTCTTTGTCGAACATATTTCAAATCCCCTTAACGGTTCAGTCAGGAGAGCTTCGAAGCTTCACTTGCAGTATGACTTTTTCATCGGTAGATTGCTTTTCAAAAGCACCTATCTATCTATCTATATGTCTATTTATCTATCTATCTGTCTGTCTGTCTGTCTATTTATTTATCTATTATCATATCTTCCAGCTATCCAGCTCCATCTATCTATCCATTTTGTCTATCTATCTATCTATCTATCTAATCTATCTATTATCTATCTCTTATCTATCTATCTGTCTATCTATCTATCTATCTTTATCTATCTATTTATCTATCTCTCTATCTTATCATCATCTATCTATCATTTGTCTATCTTCTATCTATCTTATCTATCTATCATTTATCTATCTATCTACCTATTTATCCTATCTATCTATTTACTATCTATTTATTATCTATCCTTTTATTTCTATCCTCTTCAATCTAATCTATCTATCTACTATCTATCTATTTCTATCTATTATCTATCTAATCTATCTATACTATCTATCTATCTATCTCTTTCTATCTATTATCTATCTATTTATCTATCTCTCTATCTATATCATCTATCTGTCTGTCTACCTATCCAGCCTACCTACCTACCTACTACTATCTATATCTATCTATCTATCTATCTATCTATCTATCTATCTATCTATCTATCTATCTCATCTATCTATCTATCTATTCTATTTAATCTATCTACCTATCTATCTATCTATCTATCTCTATCTCTATCTATCTACCTACCTATCTATCTATCATATCTATTTATCTCTTATCACCTATCTATCTATCTATTTATCTATCTATCTATCTATTTATCTATTTCTATCTATCTCACCTATCTATCTATCTATCATCTACCTATCTATCTACCTATGTATCTCTACCTATCTATTTATCTATTTATCTATCTACCTATCTATCTATCTATTTTTTTTTTCTTTTTTGCCTCCTAGATCATTTCCGGCATGATCTAGAATGAAGGACATAGACTCAAAGATGGTTAACAGACAGACAGACAGACAGACAGAAATCCCACATATTCTTTTTCTCGCCAGCTTTAATAACTTTTAATAATCATTTCATTAATAATAACTTTTAATATTCAGGGGAAAGATAATAGGAGGTGGACAGACAAACACACAAAAACACAGACAAAATACACAAAGAGAAAAAAATAATCCCACAATCTTATATTTCTCACAGCTTTAATAACTTTAATATAATTTGATTATATAACTTTTAAAAAATAAGAGAGAAATAATTTCTGGATTTGGTGATGAGGAACTATGATGTCAAGAGAACCCAATATTCGTGATGAAAATGCGGACATTTTATTGGTAAGTATATAAGACTTTTCGCAACTTTTGAGAGACAAAGGAGGAGGTAAACACTTAGAGGAATTTTGTAAAGATGGAGGATGGAATGAAACGAGACCAAGGACAAAATGATATGAAGATAAAAAAAGAAAGATAAGAGAGAAGAGAACAGATAATGATTATTACGAAAAAGTTAGATATTGTTTGTCGTTCTGGGAATAACCTTAACGTCTCACTGTTAATCAAGCGGTTTAAAATACAGTGTATTTATATACTGATACTGGCAATACTTCCTTGACTCAAAAACCTTTATAATCAGAAAATTCAAAGATTCTACAGATCTTTTTATCTTTCCTTTTATTATTATTATTTGTATATATGATTGTTTTGTTGTTTGTTGTTGTTGTTGTTCAAGACGTAACCTTCGATTCAGATTCAGACGTGGAACATCATCAGACTACCATATAAGGAAAATCAAAGAGAAGGGATTAGGACATCACCAGATGTCATGACACGTAGTAAGTCCGTCAAGCTTATTAATGTGACTTCGGTGACGTCAAGCCTAGAACAAGACTCCAAAACGATAGCTTATAGGACACAGGAAATAAAATAAAAGAACACTGGAATGAAATCAAATGGAGAACTATAGAGGCAATAGCGAAAAATGAATTAAAAGCTGGAAAATCTGAAAGAAGTGAACTTTTGCGAAAATCTGAACGAAAATGAGAATTTTAATGTCGAGAAAATCCGAAAAAAGAAACAATAAGTACCTCAAAATACGAAAAAGAAATAAAACAAAATAAAAAAAAAAAATAGACGATCTGCGCTGACGAGGAGATCGAACCCAAACAGAGGTCGGATCCAAGACGTTTAAAAGTCGACGGTTAGAAGACTGAAATCATTAATTGTTTTTTATTACGAAAAATGGCGGAAGGCAGGAATGAAACAAAACTGATAAAAGATAGAGAAAAAATAGAAAATAGTAAAGAAAAAAACTACGATTGGCTGACATGAATAATTGTAAGAATCTTTGACGGAAGTTCAAGTTATCCCATAAGTTAATGGGACTTTTTAACTTTGATAAATCATCCGATCGTTAGGGAGAGAATTTTATATCTATCCATCGTATTTGGTTATACATTCCCACATTCTTTAGTTTGCTTGTTTGTCTTGTCTTTCTATAGATCTTTGCTTATTTATTTTATTTTATTTTATTATTTATTTTTTGATTATTTATTTTTATTATTTATTTTTATTATTTATTATTTTTTTTTATTATTATTATATATTATCATATATATATCATCTTTGCTTAAACAACTCATCCACCTGTTTACGTCTTCTTAATTAGACACATTGTTTTCTTCGTGGCTGTCCACCTGTTTGTCATTTAAGTAGAAAATTAAACTCTGCCGCATTGAATAAAACAATTTAGTAATTTCTTCAAGCGGAAAACATTTATTCAAGAAAATACATGTACAAATCCCCCATCAACAAGGCCTTTACAAGAATATAAATATAATAATAATGATGATGATAACAATAATAATAAAAAAATATAATAAAATAAATGTAATAATAATAATAATAATAATAAATAATATAATAATAATAATAATAATAATAATAATAATATAAATACAATAATAATGGTAACAATGAAATAATAATAATGACAATAACAATAATAACAGTAATAATTGTAATAACAATGTAATAACGATAATAATATGATAATGATAATAAAAAATAATAATAATAATGATGATGATATAATGAATAATAATATAATAATAATAATAGTAATAAAATAATGGTAATAAGAAGAAGAAGAAGAATGATAATAATAATGATAATAATAATAATAATAATAATAATAATAATATAATAATAATAATAATAAAATAATAACAAAATAATAAATAATAATAATAATATATAAATAACAATATATAATAATCAATAACACAATGTACATTTCCCCCTTCAAAAAAAAACATCTAACCCACAAACCAAAAACAACAAAAACAAAAACAGAAAACCCGGTCGACCCGACCTCGCTACAGCTTGTTCAAGGACCAGTTATAGAAGAACTCGACCTTGGGACCAGCTGAGCCTCCAGTTGCTATCAGGGCGTCGAGGGCGAGCTGGTCCTTCTCCTCGAGGTAGGTCCTGATCCATCTGAGGAGGAGACGGGATGCTTTAGGTGGTGGGAAGGTGGGAAGGGAGGGAGGAAGAGGGAGGTGTGGGAAGAAAGGAAGGGAAGGTGGGGGAGGGAGGGGAGGGAGAGAGAGAGAGAGAGAGGAGAGAGAGAGAGAGAGAAGAGAGAGAGAGAGAGAGAGAGAGAGAGAGAGAGAGAGAGAGAGAGAGATAGGGGGGGGAGGGAAGGTGTGGGAAGGAGGGAGGGGAGGAGGGAAGGTGGGAAGGAGGGAAGAGGGAGGGAGGGAGGAAGGAGGGGAATGTGTGGGAGGGAGGGAGGGAGGAAGGAGGGAAAGGTGGGGAGGAGGTTAGGAAGAGGGAGGAAGGTGGGAGGAAGAGGGAGAGGAAGGGAGAGAAGGAGGGAATGAAAGTAGGAAAGGAGGGAGGTTGGAAAAAAGGGGGAAAAAGGTGATGGGAAAGGAGAGAGACAGAGACAGAGAAGAAGAGAGAGAGAAGAGGGAGAGGGAGAGGGAAGGAGAGGGAGAGGAGAGGGAGAGGGAGAGGAGAGAGAGAGAGAGAGAGAGAGAGAGAGTGAGTTTGATACCCTAAGTATAATGGAAGTTTAATCCTGCTGACAACCTGAGAAATTTATCATGGTGCTGGCAAATTTTCCTCTCATGTATGATTTATGTATATAATGCATCATTTGACCTTATCCATGCGTCTGTGGAAAGAAAAAATATATATATCAGACATTGTTCCCAAATGACTTCAAATGTAAACGAAATTCACTCACTCACTCACTCTCACTCACTCACTCACTCACTCACACTCTCACTCTCACTCTCACTTACACTCACACTCACTCACTCACTCTCCTTTCTCTCTCACACACTAATAAATTAATGATAATAATTAACATAGCTATGACGTCCAGCCATGTAATTCCTGAACATAAATAACGACTTGGCTTTGAGAACAAACAGCGAACACGGATTTGAGTACTGAAGTCTGAGTAATTTATAGCGGCGCACTGAAGACATGGTGCAATATCACATCTATATTCAGTAATTCAGTAATATTCAAGGACAAAATAGCATTTTTTGTGTGTGATTTCTATAACAAGGAAGGGTCGAAAATCGTATTTTGTGATGTATGAATAGCGGTTGTTGTCCTGGTAGTAATAGTAGAAGTAATAGTAGTTCTAGCAATAATAAGTAGTTGAAGTAGGAGCACTAGTTATAGAAGCAGCAATGCATAGTAATAGTAGCAGCATGAAGAGTAGTACCAGTAGTAGTACAAGGAATAGCAGTATCAGCGGAAGAAATAGCAACAGCAGTCCTAGTAGCAGCATGAAGAGTAGTACTAGTAAGTAGTACAAGGAATAGCAGTATCAGCGGAAGAAATAGCAACAGCAGTCCTAGTAGCAGCATGAAGAGTAGTCCTCGTAGTAGTAAAAGGAATAGCAGTATCAGCGGAAGAAATAGCAACAGCAGTCCTAGCAGCAGCATGAAGAGTAGTACCAGTAGTAGTACAAGGAATAGCAGTATCAGCGGAAGAAATAGCAACAGCAGTCCTAGTAGCATTATGAAGAGTAGTACCAGTAGTAGTACAAGGAATAGCAGTATCAGCGGAAGAAATCGCAACAGCAGTCCTAGTAGCAGCATGAAGAGTAGTCCTCGTAGTAGTACAAGGCAATAGCAGTATCAGCGGAAGAAATAGCAACAGCAGTCCTAGTAGCAGCATGAAGAGTAGTACTAGTAGTAGTACAAGGAATAGCAGTATCAGCGGAAGAATAGCAACAGCAGTCCTAAGTAGCAGGATGAAGAGTAAGTCCTCGTAAGTACAAGGAATAGCAGTATCAGCGGAAGAAATGGCAACAGCAAGTAGCAGCAGTACCCTAGTAGTAGCAGGAAGAAAGCGTATCTGTAAGCAGCATACAGCAGTCCGATGAGCAGAGAAGAGTAATACCAGTAGTAGTACAAGGAATAGCAGTGTCAGCGGAAGAAATAGCAACAGCAATCGTAGTAGCATTAACGACACTAGTAGCAACAGCATTAGTAATAGCAGTGACACGTAGCGACACCATTCTTTCTCTCGGTTGCTCCTGCAGTAGTGGCAGACGTGGCCGTGTCAGGTGTCCTCCGGTGCTCCCTTCGCCCGCCCGCTCAATCATTCACGGGGCAGGCGAAGGGTCGTTAAATATTAGGTGCAATTAATAGAAAGTAAGTCGGGGAGGGAAGAAGGAAGGGGAAGGGAGGGAGGGAGGGAGGGAGGGAGGGAGGGAGGGAGGAGGGAGGGGGGAGGGAGGGAGGGAGGGAGGGAGGAGGGAGGGGAGGGAGGAAGGAAGGAAGGAAGGAAGGAAGGAAGGAAGGAGGAAGGAAGGAAGGAAAGGTAGGTAGGGAGGAAGGAGGGGAGGGAAGGAAGGAAGGAAGGAGGAAGGGGAAGGAAGGAAAAAAGGAGGGAGGGAGGGAGGGACAAAGAGAAGGGAGAAGGGAGGGACAAGGAGAAGGAAGGAGGGAGGGAGGGAGAGAAGGAAGGAGGGAGGGGAGAAGAAGAAGAAGAAGGAAGGAGGGAGGGAGGGAAAGAAGGAAGTAAACAAGAAAGGAGGGAGGGAGGGGGAGAGAGAGAGAGAGAGAGAGAGAGAAATAATGAGGACGATGAAGATACTAATGAGGATGAGAATTAAAATGATAACGAAGACGATAACGAGGACGGTGATGAACAGTTGGTGACAATTATAATGATGGTGACGATGATAAAGATGATGATCAAGAAGAATTTTCGTCTGTGAAGCCTATAACCTGCCAGTCAAGATTAGGTTCTGGGAATGAATGGATGAGACGCTAATGGCGACAGAAGCTTCAAATTCGAGCAAGTGTGGTTCACTAAATCAAAAAAAAAAAAAAAAATCGAAAAACGTCAATGACTTGTGAGGACTTTAAAAACAGAAGGGAAAAGAAATGAGGAAACAGATAACCAAGTCACAAAAAATAATCATAAAAGGATACACACTAAGTCGCAATATCTAAAAATCTACGAAAAAAGATATATATATATAGATAGATAGACAGGTAGATAGATAGATAAACAAATATATAGATAGATAGACATATAGATAGACAGATAGACAAATAGACAGATAGATAAATAAATACACAGATAGATAGATAGATAGACATATAGATAGATAGATAGATAGACAGATAAATAAATAGATAGATAGATAGACATATAGATAGACAGATAAATAAATAATAGATAGACATATAGATAGACAGATATAGATAGACAGATAAATAAATAGATAGATAGACATATAGATAGACAGATAAATAAATAGATAGATAGATAGACATATAGATAGACAGATAAATAAATAGATAGATAGACATATAGATAGACAGATAGCTACAGATAGACAGATAAATAAATAAATAGATAGTAGACATATAGATAGACAGATAGATAGATAGATACAGCATCCCGTCCTCTGACCTCAGCATGAAGTGATGGGAGAAGGAGAGAGAGAGAGAGAGAGAGAGAGAGAGAGAGAGAGAGAGAGAGAGAGAGAGAGAGAGAGAGAGAGAGAGAGAGAGAGAGAGAGAGAGAGAGAGAGAGAGAGAGAGAGAGAGAGAGAGAGAGAGAGAGAGAGAGAGAGAGAGAGAGAGAGAGAGAGAGAGAGAGAGAGAGAGAGAGAGAGTGAGTTTGATACGCTAGATAGATAGATAGACAGATAAATAAATAGATAGATAGATAGACATAGACAGACAGATAGATAGATACAGCATCCCGCCCACTGACCTCAGCATCCCCATCTGGTCGGGAGCGAAGTCATCTTGATACCAGCTGAGGATCTCGGGCAGCCTCGCGACGTCGTCCTCGATCTTCACCTCCTGAGTCAAGTAGGACCTCGTAGCGCCCTCGAGAGCCACCTCCAAGTTGTTGCTGCTGTAGACGCGAACCATCGGGCAGGACTGTTGGTGGATGTGTTTGAAATTTGAGGTCGGTTAAGTCGGTTGAGTTTGAAATTTTGAGTTCGGTTATGTCGGTTGTGTTTGAAATTTGAGTTCGGTTAAGTCGGTTGTGTTTGTTATTCATTCATAGTCAAATTAGTAAGCAAATTATATTGGATTTCCCACCTTAATATATAACACGTGCAGTTTTAATGAATTTATATTCAGTTAATTAAACAGGCACATCTTCCCTCCCTTCCTCCCTCCTTTCTCCCTTCCCTTCTCCTACCCTCACCCTTATTCCTCCCTTCTCAACCTTCCCTATTCCCCTCACCCAACCCGTTCCCTTCTCCTGTTACCCCTTATTCTCACCTCCCTCTCTTCTCCCCTCTCCCTCTCCCTTCATTCATTCCTCGCCTCCCCTCCTATATTTCCCTCTGTCCCTTTCTCCCATTCCATTTCTCATCCTCGCCCTTCTCCTTCACCCACCCTTCCCTTTCTCCCCTCACCACCCACCCCCTCCATACCCTCACCCCCCTTCCTTTTCCCGATCCCCTACCCCTTACCCTATCCCCTTTCCCCGTCCTCCTTCTCCCATTCCCCTTCTTCCCCAGCTCCTTCTCCCTCTCATCCTCCCCCCTTTTATTCTCCCTCCCCATCCCCCCTCTCCTCCTTCTTCCCAACCCCAGTTTCCTAATCCCTTTCCCAACCCTTATACCCTCCCCCATCCCCTCTTCTCCCTTCTCCCTTCCCCCACCCCCTTATCCTTGCTCTCCCTTACCCTCTCTCCCCTCACCCCCTTATCCTCACCTTTTTCCTTATCTCCATCCCCCTCCTCCTCTCTACCCCTCACCCCTCATCCTCACCTTCTCCCTATCTCCCATCCCCTCCTCCCCCTTTCCTCTTCCCCCACCCCCTCATCCTCCCCCTTACCCTTTCTCTCACCCACACCACTCACCCTTTCCCCCCCTCCCTCCTTTCACCCTTTCCCCCCTCACCCTTTCCCCTCACCTTTCCCCCCTCACCCCCCCCTCCCTCACCCTCACCCCCTCATCACCCTCACCCTCCTCCCTCACCCCCCTCACCCTTCCCCCCACCCCTTGACCCCACTCACCCCTCTCTCCCTCTCTCCCCCAATCACCCTTTCCCCCCTCCACCCCCCTCACCCCTCCCTCCCTCACCCCTCACCCTCTCCCTTCACCCTCCCTCCCTCCTACCCCACTCACCCTCCTCTCTCCCCCCTCACACCTCCTCCCTCTCTCCCCACTCACCCCTCCCTCACCCTCTCTCTCACCCCTCTTCATCCTACCCCCTCCTCCCTCCTTCCCCCACTCTCCCCCCAACTCCCCCTCCCCTCCCTCCCCCACTCACCATAGCGCCGCAGTTGAGGGCGAAGTGTATCCGAGGCTCAAGTGTCGACACCTGGTACTTGAGTCTCGGGTCGTCCTGGGACATGACGGGTCGGCCGGTGCTAGGGTGGGCCTTGTTCACTTGAAGGGGGGGGGGGTCAGTTTGGGTTGTAGTGAAAGTGGCTTTGATGGTGATGGTGTTATTGGGTCTTTATTAATTACGTTGATGGTGGAAATAATCAGATGAAGAATTGTAATGATTGTAATGTTAATGGTGATAACTTTACTACTAATGATAATAATGATGATAATAATGACAATAATGAAAATTATACTAATGGTAATAATGAAATGATAATAACAATAATAATAATAACATTAATCATGTTAATGAGGATAATAATAATGATAATAGTAGTGATAATAATGATAATATCAGTAACATTCATAATGATAATAATAATGATAATAGTAATAATATTAATGAAAATAATAATAACAATAATAAAACTAATAATAATGATGATGATAAGATTAACAACAATAATAATAATAATGCTATAGCAAAACATAATGATAATATTAGATAGGAAAGTAATATAATATATAATAATAATATAGCTAATAATAATGATAGCAGTAATGAAAATGGGAAGATATAATTACAATACAAATGACCATAACAACAGCAGTTTCGCAACAACCATTAGCGCCCAACAGCAACAACCACTAATAATAAAATAAATATAATAAAAAATAAATAATAAAATAATAAAAATAATAAAATAATATCACTAATAAAATAAATAAAATAATATCACAAAAATAAAATAAAAAATAAAATAAATAATATCACTAATCAAATAATAAATAAATAATATCACTAATAAAAATAAGAAAATAAAATAATATCAATAAAATAATAAAAATAAAATATATCACTAATAAAAATAATAAAAATAAAATAATATCACTAATAAATAAATAATATCACTAATAAAATAATAAAATAAAATAATATCACTAATAAAAATAATAAAAAATAAAATAATATCACTAATAAAAATAAAAATAAATATATCAATAATAATAAAATAAATAATATCACTAATAAAATAAAAAATAAAATAATATCACTAATAAAAATAAATAATATCACTAATAAAAATAATAAAAATAAAATAATATCAACTAATAAAAATAATAAAATAAAAAATAATATCACTAAATAAATAATAATAAATAAAATAATATCACTAATAAAAATAATAAAAATAAAATAATATCACTAATAAAAATAAAAATAAAATAATATAACTAATAAAAATAATAAAAATAAAAATAATAAAAATAAAATAATATCACTAATAAAAATAATAAAAATAAAATAATATCACTAATAAAAATAATAAAAATAAAATAATATCACTAATAAAAATAATAAAAAATAAAATAATATCACTAATAAAAAATAAAAATAAAATAATATTAATAAAAATAATAAATAAAATAATAAATAATAAAAATAAAATATATCACTAATAAAAATAATAAATAAATAATAATCACTAATAAAAATAATAAAAAAATAAATTAATATCACTAATAAAAATAATAAAAATAAAATAATATCACTAATAAAAATAATAAAAATAAAAATATCACATAAAATAAAATAATATCACTAATAAAAATAATAAAAATAAAATAATATCACTAATAAAAATAAAATAATATCACTAATAAAAATAATAAAAATAAAATAATATCACTAATAAAAATAATAAAAATAAAAAATAATATCACTAATAAAATATATAAATAATATCACTAATAAAATAATAAAAAAAAATATATCACTAATAAAAATAAAAAATAAAATAATATAACTAATAAAAAATAAAAATAAAAATAATATAATATCACTAATAAAAATAATAAAAATAAAATAATATCACTAATAAAAATAATAAAAAATAAAATAATATCACTAATAAAAATAATAAAAATAAAATAATATCACTAATAAAAATAATAAAAATAAATAATATCACTAATAAATAAAAATAAATAATATCACTAATAAAAATAAAAATAAAATAATATCACTAATAAAAATAAAAAAAAAATAATATCACTAATAAAAATAAGAAAATAATAAATAATAAAAATAAAAATATAAAAATAAAATAATATCACTAATAAAAATAATAAAAATAAAATAATATCACTAATAAAAATAAAAAATATAATATCACTAATAAAAATAATAAAAATAAAATAATATCACTAATAAAAATAATAAAAATAAAATAATATCACTAATAAAAATTAAAAAAAAATAATAAAAAAATAATAAAATAAAATAATATCACTAATAAAATAATAATATCACTAAAAAATAATA